GGGGGGGGGGGGGGGGGGGGGGGGTGGAGATGTGCAACTGCTGAGAAGGCCCTTCTTCTAGCCAGCTTCCCTCACCTCCCAAGGGGATGGCTCCCTAAGAAGGACCCGAGTGCAGAATAATATGGACTGGGCCCAAGTACTGCTTTCTACAAGGAAGAAGGGCTCTCTTCTTTCACCCAGTCTTGGGGAGTTCTGCTCCACCACACAGTACAGAAGGACTCTCTGTGTAGTATTTCCAAAGGCTAGAAGCACGGAATGTTTCCATCAGTGGGGTTGACCAGTGTGAAACTGGACCCAATCCTGTGGTTCTATTCAAAGGCCTCTTGTTGTCCCTGAAAAGGCACTGAATTGGTGCCAGTCCAGCATCTGTGGGAGACTAGTAGCTGGCCACCACTGAACAGATGTCTCAGGCACCCTTACCGCTGAACATCTGGAGTGAGGGGGTCTGAAAAGGACCCTGTAAAGAGAATTGTTACAGCTTAACTTTTCTGTGGTTTTACAGGGGAGACATCTCTTGAAAAACACAACAGTCTGTGCATATTTGTGGGGATGGGGGTTCTGTCCTTTACATAATACTATAATTACAACAACTTTAATTCCTTTTAATAGGAGGAGGCAGATGGCAACAGAGACAGGGTTTCCTCACTTGTGGCTCCCCAGTTGTGGAATGTTTTCCTCAGGCAGGTTCATGTGTTGCCTATTTTATTGCCCTTTCAGCACCTTGCAAAGAACTTTTTATAAATTTGCTTGAGCTTTCAGTGTGCAGTTTTAATCCTGCTGACAGTTTTAGGCTGTTTTCATGGTTACATGGCTTTTAGCTTTTAAAAACAGAACATTGGCATTGTTTCATTCTTTTTGTCAACTGCTCTCAAAATATGATTGTAGGCAGTATTCAAATATTCACCATGAGTTAAACAAAAGGATTACCCAGGCTTAAAATAATCCTTTCATATGATCCAACTAGGAACAACTTGCATTTTCTGGTACCTGTCTCAGAGAGATCACTATACTTATTTTCTCTTTTTTCTTTCTTTGGGGGATGCCTTGTTCAAATGTTGTTTGTGTGAGTGGCCAATGTCATTTTTCAGGGTTCAGCACCTCCCTCAGGGAAGCAAATTCCTGACTAGAGTGGGGTGGATGCATCTGGTGTGCAGTGAATGCACAGACAGCTGTAGGCACTTCAAGTAATGGCCTCATACAGTGTTCAGGCAGCCTTTGCTCTGCTGGGGTAAATTTTAGGGCAGTTATGTTTCTCTAACAAGTCCTTAAGTAAAGAGCAGCCACACTTGTGGTAGAAATTGGAGCACTCTGGAGTAAGAGCTTTTCTGTACAAGGCATTGTGGTACATTCCTGTTTCCTTACTCATGAGTGTTTACATATTCTATAGATGATGCAGTGACTTTTTCAGTTCTACTTCTTTTTTCAACAGAACTTTTGGCCAGTTTCTTTTTGTTTTTGAAGACAAAATAAAAAGTTTTTTCCACTTTTGTTGTTCTACTGTTGTACTTTGCCACCTAGATGTTATGTAGTAGAAAGGCAGGAGAAGGCTCTATGTGTGATGCTTAGTTCTCAGTGCAGAGATGAAACCAAAACTTCATAGAGTGGAGTGAAATGCTCTAAGTGGATACAGGGCAGGACAATCAGTCAGACGATCCTTTAATAACATCTTGCCATGAGGGATTGGCAAAGTGATCCATTCCTTAGCCTCAGGGTTACAAGGGATGGGAGACCATCCAGTACACGCACGCACATATATATATAATTTATTTTTAGCTCTGCAGGATATAACAGGATATAACATAATATTATCCTGATGTGTTTCTTGAGAGAGTAAAGCTCTTTTGGCCTGACAAAAGAATAATAGAGGCTCTGTACTCTGAAAAATAAATCCACATAAGGGAAGGGTAACCTTTGCCTACATAAGATGCTTTGAAGCCATTCCAAAAGCACACTAAGGGCATAACCTAATGCATTCTGAAATTGGAGGTTTAAATAAATCCAGTGCATGGAGCAAGCAAGCAAACAAAGAAACAAAAATTGCCATCTCCCTTGCGGGTTGTGAGAACAAGGTCAGCTTTGGCTTCTTATAAATGCATCAGTGTGGTTCAGTGGTTAAAAAGTTGGGACTGGAACTCAGATGACATGTGTTCTAGCCCCACTTGGCCATGAAGCTCATTGGGACACTTGGGCTGAGAGTCTGTGAATGGTCCAAACAGGATTGTTGCGATAAAATAAAGAATTATATAAGTCACTTGGATTGTTTGCAGGAAATACATCAAATATATAAATACTATAATTGACCCCAGGTAAGTGACATGGACTTCTTTATCACCTAATATTTCTTTCTCAATCCTCTCCTGCATCTGTAGAGCTCTTTAAGTGTACTCTAAGCACACTCGGGAAGGAATAAGCACCACTAAATATGGTTGGAGCTACTGCTGAATAAATATTCACTGAGCTGCGCAACAGAATGCTCCTTGGAATTTGTGGATTTGGGGTTCTTACAATTTCTGCTTCCACCTGCTTTTCACATGAGGGCTATAGGACCCAAATACAGATTTTGTGTCATGTTGTGAGCCCACCATGAAGCAGGCACAGCCGCGAGCTGTTAATTCATATTAGCCCTATAAATAACAAGTACCCGTTCATTTAATGAAATGGTTAGATTATTTTAATGAGTTGTCCCAAGAGTAATAGACATCCAGTTAAACTTTCTGATTGCTATTTTTAAACTTGCACTTTAACTTCTTGCTTTA